TTCTTTCTTCTTTTTTCTTTCTTTCTTTCTTTCTTTCTTTCTTTCCTTCCTTCTTTCTTGCTTTCTTCCTTTCTTACTTTCTTTTTTCTTTCTTTCTTTCTTTTTTTCTTTCCTTACTTGTTTATTTCTTTCTATAACGGGAACGCATTTTTTTTCTCCTGCCCTTTAATTCATGGGGGAAAAAATATTGACCGTTCTTAAGGCATGAAAGTGTTACGTGCAATTCTGCTCAATTCCCTTTATTACGTCTATCCATTCTTTTAAGCAGACAACAATGCAAATACGTTACCTGCAATCAAACAATATTTCCTTCTCTTGCTTACTCGTATAAGGCTCATACGTTATCACACCACAGTATAGGTTCTAAACAAATCTATGTAGTCTTTATCTCTGCAATCATTGCCATAATTGGGGAATTGAACACCCTCTCTCGAGTTTAAATTTTGCATTTGGATATTTTGTTGCGGCTGTATTTATGCTATGCGCAGGTGAAACACACACATACACACACACACAACACACACACATACACGCACACACACACACACACACACACACACACGCCCCACCGTGATGGTCTAGTGGCTAAGGTACTCGGCTGCTGACCCGCAGGTTGCGGGATTGAATCCCGGCTGCGGCGGTTGCATTTCCGATGGAGGCGGAAGCGTTGTAGGCTCGTGTGCTTAGATTTGGGTGCATGTTAAAGAACCCCAGGTAGTTGAAATTGCCGAAGTTCTCCAGTACGGCGTCTCTCATAATCATATCGTGGTTTTGGGACGCTAAACCGCACAAATCAATCAAATCAATCAATCACACACTCGCACACACACACACACCTCCATGCACACGCGTACGAACACATTCATCAACATACTTCAATTGCGCTTGGCACCCTTCATCCTTCCCACGCACAAGAATAAGAAAGCTTCTGGCTCCACCCCTCTCGTTAAACCGCTCACGTACGCTTTGCTAAATTCTGCTACTTCGACGACAGCACATGTCCTCGCCTCAAAAAGGTCACGCGTGACTTGTGAGGGATACCGAAGAATAGTCGAAGGACCGCGCTCGATCCCAGGTTAGCTGGATAGTAGAACGCTCTTTTATTTTCTCATTTCGCAATTCCTTCGAATTTCGCCCGTAATTCTGCTCTGTATAGACCACCATTATCATAACGAGAAAAATAAAAAAAGGGCTGCTATACTTTCTCAGTATTATGATCGCCTTGGCAAAGCCAAAATGTTCCCACGTACGTAGGTCACTGCATGGGCCAGGAATGGGACTCTCCATGCGCAGAGACCCTCAATTCTGCCGAGTAAGCACAGTCACGGCTAAAAAAGCACGTCTCGGGCCTAGCGGACACAGGGAATGACCTGGCTCAACGGCCAGGCTCGAAAAACTGTGGCGATGGGTGTCCCGGTCCCAAGTGGTTATAAAGAAAGCTCGCTGAACACGGCAGCTCCATCTGAGACCAGTCGCGAAGTGAACTGACCATGCGTACACACTTGCGTTTCCAACGCTATCCAACTGTGCATTCTGATTACGGACATCTTCTCGCAACTTTTTTTCAGGATCTTTTTTTGGCCGTCAATTTTTTCACAAGCACGGTATACGTGTGTGACTATACCCTGTGCTGCGTTCGCCATTGTGTGTGTCACTTCTGCCCTCTGCGTATGGAAGTGCAACTTGCTTTCAGTCTCTATACTTCCCGTCATGCCTTCCTTCTCCCTTACCTTCCCTATCTCCAGTCTTGCTCTGCATCTTCCCGGCACCAACTTCTTTGCAGTGGCATGCAATGAAATTAAAGGAGAAAGAGTTTACTTATTCCTAGATGTTTTGCGAGTGGTGGTGTTGTGCTAGACTACCTTAAATCTTCTGTAAATGCACAGCTGCAGCGGAAAACTTGATTATTCCATTCCTCGTGAAAAAAATTTTTTCGTGACACAGATTGTGAGCCATTGCTTGCTGCCTAATTTTAAGGCTTATCGCAAAGAAACACAAGGACACAAAGCAAAACATCAGGCCTAACCTTCATAACAAATCCCATCTTTAGAAATCCAGCCAAGTTGAGTCGGGACGAAAGTCCTCTTATTCTTCTCCTGGCTATTTCTGGGCCGACGTGTAGTGGCTTTAACTTTGTCTCAGGAACAGTACCGGCGCAATACTGACTACTTCTCGGCCAACTCTAGTGGCTATAACTTTGTCTCAGGAACAGTACCAGGTGCAATAGCTTGTAGACGCGAAGCATCTCATGGGCGAGCTCAATCTGGTGTGCGGCTGGACCACCCTTAGAGCGAATGCACTTGCTACTATTGGAAACCTCAGAGCAGAGTCGTCTACGTATAATACCGATGACACAGCTCTGATGTGTACGTAGGGCAGTTTCTATGAGTACGTCATGCCCTCATTCACTAGGCGCGCGCCCGGAAGGAAGGGAGAGCGGCATTCATCTTGAACTTTGACTCACTTCCGTGACGTGTAGCGTTGCAAATTTGGCAGACGCTATCATGAACGCCCCATGTACGCATTCCGCTTCTCAGCTCAAAATTGTCCAACTGGTCGAGTATACATTTCCACACTAAACATTCACAAAGTGCACGTCAACTAAAAGCGGACTTTGGGTCCCTGTGTCCAATCGGAGTCTTCTGTTCTTCATTGCCCATTAACAGCGATTGGCATGTTGCAGTAAAAAACGCCTCTTCATTACTGAGTGTTCTGCGCCTCCTTCTGCAGGCACCTCTCCTGCGCAATGCCGTGGTGATGACCGGCAGCGTCACCACCGCCACCCGTGTAAGCGTTAGCACCCGCTACTTCGCATTTGCACATGCTTCCCTTTAGCGGCAGATGGTGTACTTTTGTTGTAGGTCACTTCCTAATTGTCTGAAAGATACACATTGAATTCTTCATGCCCACAAGAAGGACCTTTCTCAAACCGCGAGACGAACTGAACGCTTTCGGCATACAGTTCCACAAAATGCGAGAAAAGAATACCATTAGCAACTTTTGCACATCGAAAAGTTTACTTGAAGATTAGTAAGGTATTAGTACATATATTGCCCCATACTGATGACTGGAAAGCTTGAGTTCTCCGCTATCTCATGCTTGCAACGTAATTATCCTATTTTACCAAAAAAAAAAACCAAAGGGAGTGTCACCACTGTTCTGAATCTCACACGCTCCGAGTGTGCTGTGGACGCGTTTGTCTGATTTGTTTTCAAATTACTCGAGATCAAGAACAACAGAGAACTAACAAGAAACCTTTCAACATCACATGTTTCAGAAAGTTCAGTGAAGCGCCATTCTCTTCAACAGGGTATTATCTACTAGGTTAGACAAAGGCACGTTAACGCTGTATGAATGTGCCTTGGAATTTGTCAAACTGATTTTCACACCGACACAATTTGCACCACTTGGTTAGACCGTGCTGCCTTGATATTAGTACCCAACTATTACATATTTATTATAGAAACGTTGTCTTTGTTCGTTCCTAGTGAAATATCAATCACGGTGCCCTTGACGATGTCTGTTAATACTATGCAAAAACGTCAATCAGAACTATCAGATATTCAAAGCTTTGATGTCTGTTATAATAGATTAGTGTTGTGTCTAATAAACGCAAACGAATTTTTGAAATTTTCATTTTTCCGTGATGAACATGGTATATTTTTTTTCTGTAAAGCATTCATGCCCACTTTTTATTTTTGTCACACGAAAACGGAGCGAACAACTGCGTTTGTCATCTTCAACAATAGAAATTTTGTAGATCAAGAGGTAAATTTTACAGTGAAATCTTTTTACGCCATGCTCAGCGAGAAGCTCATAATCATCGGAAACTCACATGATTCAGGACATTAGTTTAGCCCACTTACAAACGACCGTTATTACATAGGCTGCGATGTATTTGTCTACTATTTCACAAGCATCTACTCGGCTTATCTGCGCAGTCTGTGCTCGGTATACAGGGCTCTCTGGCTTTGTGAAAAAGAAACTATCAAAATGAAAACTAGACTTGAGAGACGTAGTGCCAGCTTAAAAGACCGAGAACGAAGATGAGATGTGTTTCTAGCTTGTAGCACGTTTTTAAAGTAACCATGCACCGACTAGCCCAATATAACGTAGTGTTAAGGGGTAACTAAATTTTTTTCAGCGGAAGTCGTTGCGAGATCACAAAGACAGCCGATTTTGGAGGCGTTTTAAGGAGGAGTTTAAGTGGTGCATGAGAGAGTTTGGTACCTTTTTGGCAGCACGGGCTACGACTTTTCGCTTAGAAAGCGGAACATACCATACTACAAAATAAAAATAAAAATGGCGTAATACACGACATGTAGAAGATCACAAGATGTCCAGAAACAGTACAATCCAACGGCACATGTGTGACAACTATTCTATTACGAGTTCTAGTAAACAAAACATGTTTTCAGGTACACGCTGTTTCACACTTTAAGAATCACGTAGAAAATGCGTTCCACATTTTACACTAAGTATGAAACAGCCTGTGCATGTACACATACAAAATGAAACCGTTTATACACCATGTCATACACGGAGAGAACACCTAAGTAGGATATTTGCATAAAACTCGACACACCTTTAAAGCATTCTAAATACTAAATACATGACAAAACTAATGTGACGTAACTTTTTTGGAAGTCATCCTAATAACTTCACTAAATAATTGTGTCATATTTATACCTATTACGTTTATATTTACTGGCCATCAGGTAACAAAAAGAGTTTCTCTCAGCAAGTTTTCTTGAATTTCTTTATGACTGGTTGCCTATCACTTCTGTACTCTAGATTGTTGTGGTGCTTTTTCTCAGTATGTTTTCTTTCTGTATGAACGACCAAGTCTAATGGTACGATTATTTTGTTCAGATTGAAAGCACGATACATAATAATAAGAAGCAGGGACGACATCAACGTGATGTTCGGTTCGTTACAATGTACGCAAATCAGACGTTGCGTCTTCATTCATACTCATTCGTATTTTCTTTTTTGTGCAGGGCCGAGTTGCTTGCGCCAGTCCTGGGGGTCATTCGGCCAACGACGAGTGAGACCACCCAAGATAGGCGATTTGCCGCGGTGAGTCCACGCTTCAATCTGGATGTATACAATCTCCCTCCTAGGATCAATGCAGTATCGCTGGTTCCGCGAAGTTTTCTTTTCACTACCTCATTTCCTCTCTCTATTTCATGTTCTGGAGTAGTGATAAAACTAGTATGTCACTACGATGTCGGAAATGCACCAAATATTTATTCCACATGTGCATTGCAACACGTCTTGTTCATTTGTAACCAACCCGAAGATTTGTATAAAAGGCAGAAAATTAAAAACGTACCGGCACGAGATGCAATAAACATAGTGGTTCTATTTTTCAACATACAGCATTGTGCATATTTTCGCTTAACTTGTCAGTTTATGTTGGGGTGGGCTTAAGAGCTAAATTATATATTTACACTGAACTTTCATTCAACACTTGATTATATGAACGTACAGTATAAGTGTGACCTTCACTCTTGACCACAACGAAAACATCTTAGCGACCACGGCCGAATATTTCCGCGCGTACTGCCTTTGCTGTGACCATCATATTGCCATTGTTATCCAGTGTGCAAAATTTTACCTTTCCCTTCACTTAACCAGCTAGTTATCTACTGTCTAATAAAATTATTACTGCGCACATGCTTAGTTTTGTGAATTGACTGCGAAATAGTTGCAATGATGACTGATCAAATCGCCGAGAGAATGAATGTGTCCACGACTTTTGTAAATACACCCTTACCGATAATCGCCACGTTGTTAATGAAAATTTGCTGCGTTCGCAGGTTTTTTTAGTTGTGCTAATTCATTTGCGTGGTGGTTTCAAATATAAATAATTTCACTTCATCCCTCTTTTGTGCATTGTAACAGAATAAATAAAAAAACAGAAATCAGAGGTAGACATATTGAAGAAGCGGATGCAATCTTTAATGTTTTTTCCTGGTAGGTAGTAGCGACGAGAAGCGAAGCCTGCATAGAGAGTCCGTGTATTATCACAAGCAAATATACAACACTACTGGCCTGCTAAGCGTTGTTTTCGTTTAAGGAGCGTGATCCTAAATTAGAAGAAAACCAAGAACCTTGATCGGCAGGACCTGGCTTTTTGGATAATATTGAAGGCTTAACAAAAACGTAAGTTTCTTGTGAATATTTAGGCAATGAATATAATTAAGGGGTTTTAATAGAGCGGCCACTCAAGCACATAAGGTAATGCATGTTAATGTTGAGTCCTTGCTTTGTCCCAACTAAGCGGCGGATTATGAAAACCGGTGTCCGATTAAGTATATCAGCTCCGGACCAATGTGGTAGATTTCTTTTAGCAACTATGTAGTTTCTCAAGTGCACCACAAAACTGCTATCTCGAATGCGTCTTGTTTCACTGTGGATGTTTTCATTTGTGGCGAATGTGACTTGGTTTTGGTGAATAATATATGTAGCTTATAATCACAGACAAAATAGTAAAACGAAAAGAATGCATTTGAAGACTATTTTTTAGTGTAGTACATGCTCGAAATATGATCAACATATCAAGGAGCACAGGTTCAAGGAACTACCATGTAAAGCATACTTCTCTTTACTGAGACCATCATCGCGACAATGTTACTTGCAAGATTGCTTTACCTAATGTCATTTGACATTGTGTGCAGCACACTTTACAGGGGCACTTGCACATTTTTGGGTTTGTTCGACGTGACGCCCGTATTAATAACTTCAGGTGTGGGAAGCTTCTTGTCTGTAAAAACACCTAAAGCTCCACTTTCAGAAGAAACAGGCCAGTGTCGATGAGTCAGATAAAAGTAACAAATTTTGCATTGATTCTGCGAACAGCGTGTTACCTGAATTTAATGAGAAAGCAACTATATTTTTCAGTTGATATTCAATGGAAAATATTCTGCGGAATTTTCGTGAGGCAGTTATCTTCAATTTTGAGTCAACGTGCGCACGATATCTCCAAGCCTGAAAAGCTCTAAAGCACATTATGTCTTGGTACAGCTGCAGGTTGATACTGTAACGCACAATTAAAGGCACACTTCAGTGAAATAAAGTACCTGGGGTGAACTTTCGCCTAAGATACAAACAAGTCAAAGAAAGTCTGTCAAAGAAAGTCTTCAGATGGCAGTCTCTTCTCATTCCTTCACCTTTTGTTCTCCTCTTGCTTCTCGTGTCTGTCACAAGTGGCACGTAGCTGATGTTGCTTGGCTCGTGCTAGCACGTGCTACTTGCCGAATTTGTCATCTGTTTCCCAAGTACGCCGTCCACAATTGAGAGGGCGTAAAGATAGGACAGCGCGCACAGTTTGAGCGTGGCTTAATTGTGCTGTTCTGATGGTTTCCCAGCAATTCTATACAAGTCAAAAAGCTTTCAGGAGTTTTCAATGAAAATTTCAAGTAAGAATAGCAGCTAGTGTTTTAATGCGGGCATGATAGTATGGTTTCTTCAAATAACATTGCGGTGCTTATGAATGAGGTACGAGCATGGAACATGAACTGCATATGTGCAAATTTTTAAGCATCACTCATATCGCCGTTTCCCTGCGCCAGAATATTGTCCCAAGAGGAGCCGTTTACTCTACTGCGGATCATTTGTTCTTTGGTTTCACTCTAAACGGCCTAATCGCTTCCCTGCCTATCACGCAGCAAAGAGAATCGTGTGAAAAAGCAAAGTAATAATAAAAATTCTTACCAGAATGTGTGCTGACAAGCTCGCTCATTGCAGTGTTATTGATGAAGGTAAACGCAGCGCGAGAAACAAAAGTTAAGATAATATTTAAAATCAACAAGTACGCTACATTGTTTATTTGAGCTTTGTCTACGTGAATATTTATTTCACAATGAATAGGAATTACACAGTTGAGTCCAAGTTTTGAATTTTCACGTGAACGGTGATGCAAATTGTTCTGGCAACTCTGACATCGAGGGCGCTCTCAAACGACGTCGCGAGTTTCTTCCGATTACTTTTCGAAGAGGATTGAGTACATAACTTTTAACAGTTGTTGAAACAAGGTAGTGGGCAGTGCAACAATGCCTAAAAGATTGTTGCGGCCAGAACTTTTTTTTACCTTTGACAGATCACAAAGTATAAATTATTAGAAAAAACACACAAAACAGATGTTTCAATTCTCACCTGAAAGCCAAAATATCTGTTCTCTTTTTTTAATTGCTACATTTATTGTCGCTGTCTTCACATTTCATCAAGACCGCACGAACTTCCGCTCAACTTCATACTTTTTTAGCCACTACAAATATTCTCTTACTTTGTATCATTGAGAGAAATGCTCTCGCAATGCACCCGACACATTCAAAGCACCTTACCGAAATCTGTTATTGAAGATATTGGCTGCGATGACCCTGATATCGTAATTTTCTGACCAAAAGAAATACTCCTTCCCCAGGGATGCTTTCTTAATACAGGCCGCCAACGTGTTTCTCCAGTGCTTTCTCACGCTTTGTTCGCAGCGGTCACTAGCACTCTCTGCAACCTACATACCGAAAATGGAGTGCTTTCTTTTGCTTCTCCCGCCGTTATACTTTCGGGAATACACCGAGCGTCGTGTATCACAAAGAAAAACGTTTCGAAGAACGTTGACCTCGTATATCACTGAAGCGTGGTTGAGCCACGAAGAAAAGCAGCGCACCTCGAGGCATATAGTACAATGCGTTATGGTGTACTGATCCCCGTCGTAGTGTATCTCCCCTCTCGTGTTTCGAGAGATATATCTTAGGCGTCTACGCCTTCTTTTTCGCGTTCTGAAGTAGTTATTTGCTTGGTATGTGAAAAAGCCTACCATAGTCTTCTATTTCTTTCTTTCCCTCTTTCTTTCTTTCTTTATTTTATTTCCACATCTTCGTCATAGCGGTTGTTCTCGTAGAACACATGAGCGGCCTTTCTTGTGGCGCCCTTCCTTTTTTTTTCCTCAACGCACGCTAATTATTTTCTTGACGTACGAGGTTTGACAGAGTGTCACTTCTTCCGAAATAGCTGGAAAAAGGGTGATGCTTCTCTTAGAAAGTACCATATTTTATATTGAAGTAGGTGTCGCAGAAGGCACGCTATTTTTTTTTTCTTGCTCGTTCGAAGTTGTGAAACCGAGAAGAAATCGATTGACGGTTCTTATTCGCACTTCAACTTCGCGGTACGCGCAGATCTGAAGCCTGTGAGACTTCGTTTCAACTACGCATTCATCAAATATGCTCAACATTATTGTTTGTAGTGAATATATGTGAGCGTGTAATATGCACCGAGAATGTTGCTGCTTCAAATGAGTCCGCGATTGCTTTAAATCTATGTGTGGATCAAAAGCTTTATTGCACTCGCTTTAGTGCGTGACGAGTGCTGCAACATCAAAATTGAGAGCCTGTGAAGAGCCAATATCTTTGCCAGATTTTCTTTCATCAAGCAAACAGAGCTAAAATTGATACTAATACTAATTTCCTAATTATATTCTTTTATTAAATCTGCGACACCATCGTTATTAACAGTGTAATGATGGCACTTGCGTATAAGCTCGCAGAATTCATCATACGTCAATAAATATTTAATGTACCTTTCTGCCTTCTTCAGGGCGGAAAGTGTATGAGGCCTCAAGCATATATGAAACATGAATGTTTCAGGTTTTTGTCGAGATGCTGAATCCTAGAGGTTTTTTGTGGTTTAATCAAACACGCATTCTTTGTTCCTAACGCAAACATTCTTTGCATTATCATTATATAGGCGCTAGCAGCAACTATGTGGATGCGGGCTCTCATTGGAAGTTCCTGGAGGCGCATATTTCCGCAGAGCTCCTGCGCACGCCCAACAAAAAAAAGCGTAATGTAAAAAAAACTGCATGTCCACACGTAAAGTTATTTCAATTACAGCATGACTTCTGAACTTTGCCGCGAGCAAACATTACTCTTAATTGACATTTGAGCTGGCATCTGTTCGGAGCATAAGCGTACAGATTGCGTTAATATGTAGTTCATGAGATTTCGAACAACGGTAACTCAACATTTACAATTAAAATTTTCTAAGTGTACACCTAATAAAGAAGGGTTGCCATGTAA